AATTTCACGCCTTTAGACTTTTTTGTGCCATGCCGTGCAGGACCGATGTAATGCCGATATGTCGGGAATTTCTTACGATAGAGCCAGAAACCATCAACAAGGTCTTGGAGAACTCGGTTAACAGGATGCGCTACTGCGAAGACAGTGACATGATGAAATCGGGTTCCATAACTAATGGGAATAGAATGAACCCATAATAGTATACCGAAAAAAATAGTTTGAGTTAATTTTTATAAATAAATAATCATCAGATCTTTAATGTGAACGTCATCAGATCAGCACCGTCATTCTAAATGTGTATTAAGGTTTTATTTTTTGAAGTCAGGACCTTTTTTAGCGGTGCACAGTGGTTTGAATTTTGAGGAAATGAAAAACCATAAAGCCATATGAGACCTCTCTTCGTTCAAAAAGGGATGGACGAATTTACTTGAAACATGTTCAATATTTATTAAGGTTTGTGAATAGTGTTGCCATCTGTTTAAAATGTTAAGCTCAATTTTGGCGTCTTAACGCTATGCTTCCAGATGCAAGAAAAAAAACTTTCCGAATTTGTACTCTAGCGAGTTTCAGCGGTATTTGGAAAGCACTGTGAGCCGAAACGTATTTTAACAGTCCGTGTTTTTGGCCATATGATCATTTTCTTTAGTTTATAGAGTCAGAAACAATCAGCATGAAGTATATACCGAAGGAGCAATTACATTGTAAAAAAATTATAAGAAGTTATGGTTCTACTATTTAAGAAGCACGGGCCCGGGGGGATTACAAGTCCTTTTCAAAGGTCTGTCAAACTCAAGAATTTCCAAAAGAGATTGCAAGAGCAGTTAGACCTTGCATGTAAAGTGACTTTCGAAAGCGCATTTTCTTTCTGAAAATTAAACTTTCGGATACTACTTTTTGTCTGTTTACACTTTGAGTGCAGACAAGCCCACATTCAACTATTTTATCAGACATATTTATGCTTATAACAAAATTTATGACCTGAACCCTTTGCTAAACTTGCTAAAATGTGCATCAAACAGTCACAAAATATATAATACATTAATACTTTAAATACTCCGTATCAGTAGAATAAATTAATTACACATATTTTTCACATTTTATTAAATATTTTTATAATTTTAAACAAATTTGCCAAAAACGCATCACGCGGCAACAATTGATTGGTTTGACAGCACTTGCAGCAAAAATTATAATTGCTAGTGCAGCACAAGCAAGTTGAAATTATTTCTCGAAAGAGATTTGCATAATTTCAGTTGCAGTTACACCTTGCAATTTTTATTTCCGAAAGTGATTTCTGCACATCTGCAAAAACGACTTTCAGGCTGTTTAAATGGGAAAGTAGACTTTTTATTTCGCATTTTGACAGCAAAACGCGTAGAAAAAGCGCTTGCATTGCCACGTTTAACCGCACCTTTACTTTGCATGTTACTCGCTCATAGTAAAATTGAGAACGAAAAGTAAATCATCTGCTTTTAGAAACAGTGGTACATAAATAAAAATATTAAAAGTGTACACTTACATTCATCTAAGGATATAATAAACTAATGTCCTACTTGTTCAAGAAATCCACGAAAGTTAGCGATTTAATAAAAATAAGTAAGGGCCGTTATGTCTTCAGCTATGCCAAAGGTTTCATACCTTTCATGAACGCCAAAAAAATTTAACTTTAGGAGCAACACATTATATTTACTAAATTGATTTTCACTGTAAATTTTTTATTTATGAAAAGCAAATATGTACGGACAAAAGTGTTTGACTACATAGATGGAGGAGTTCTATAACAAAAACTGATATCTAAAGCAGAGGTCGGCAAAATTGTGTGTTGGTGAGCACAGAGTAATCGTAGGTACTGCACTGTGGTGAAACGAGTAAAATTTCAGCAATGAATAATTAAGTATTTTGTCAATGTTATTGTGGCTTGTTAACATTTTTATTTTTAATATTTTTATTGAGCTTTGTACCACGATTGTTTATTAGGAAAAATTGAAAAAGCAACAAAGTCTAAGCGGTAGAAGTTATAGCACTATTTCGGAGATCACCGCATCTCCTCATCAGACTTCTCTTTTTGCCCTGCTGAAGTCTAGAAAAAAGAAGTCTGATGAGGAGATGTGGTGATCTCCGAAATAGTGCTATAACTTCTACCGCTTAGACTTTGTTGCTTTTTCAATTTTTCCTAATAAACAATCGTGGTACAAAGCTCAATAAAAATATTAAAAATGAATAATTAATACTGTTGTTCTTCACTATGATATATATACGTATAAAATTATAATTTATATATTATATGCAGGGCCGAAAAGTTTAATCATTTGCCTGGAATTGCTTATTTTGCTTTTTCAGGGTTTCCAAGCCTTATTTTAACGATCATGCTTATTTCAATGTACGGACCTTTTAAGTAAACGGTCAAGAAATAAATTGCGATTATTTCATGTGTATGAATAGTAGTGTCAAAGGAGTTTTGACATCTGACATTTTACAGCCTGCTGTCTCACTTTCTGCTTACGAAATAATGGATCGGGCATATATTTCTGTTGAAAACAACAACAACTTTAGAAAACCATACTTAGTAGAAAGCGTAACAAATTTCTTAAGAACTTCGTATTGATTAAGAAAATTTGACTCAATAAATTTGCATGAATTAATGAAATTAAAGTTTCAATAAATGCATAAATTTCATGGTGCGACGAGCTAATTTCCTAGGAGACAAAGGAATATTTTCAATAACAACATCATGCATGCAATTGCTTCAAAATTTCTTTGATATAAGTAGATGCTATCTGAAAAACGTCTTCCTTTTAAACAATATTTAAAGTAATTAAGTTTGCCAACGTCTTTTTTAATGAGGTTTGTTTGTGCAAAGTCATTCGTAGCAACCAAGAATATCATCGTTTTATTTAGAATATTCAGCATATTTAGGGTACTCACAGTTCTATATTATCTACTGTGTTAATTTTGCCACCTGGTAACTTTAAAACATTTTACCATGTGGTAACTTTGTTTGTTGTTGGTTCCCATACTAATTAGAGATAACACTTTTGGGCAAAATTACTAGACTTTGTCTCATGTTTATGTTCTGTGTTAAACTGGCATCTATCGCTGCTTGTACATACATACATGAATTTCGCTTTGGGCGCAGCGCTGCTTGTACATAAGTTTCTCTTTGCGCCTTCCTGGAGCTGGCAAAGGTTATTTTTTTTTTATTTTTGCGCTGTGCCAGCTGAGTATAAAAAAGAGAAGAGAGAATAGAGAGAAATATGTATGTGGTTTGTTGATGCTCTCTAAACACAAACGCGTGAAAGGCAAACGGTCTAGCAATGCGTGGTATTGTTGATCAACTTAATACTTTATTTAAACATAAGGGTTGCTCACAGTTCGAGTGTGTTATCTTGTTAAAGTTGCCACCTTTTAACTTTAGAAGTAAACTGTGAATACCCTANATTTTACACTTTTGAATGTAAACAAAAATTATATCAGCTGTTCGTCTAACTTGCAAGTTTCTGCAAATTTTCTGTTCGCGTACTATTTTGGATATTTCTCTCTTGTGAGCGAACAGATGACATTTCGCCGGAATTTGGCAGTTGGTTGGTTTCTGTTGGAGATTTTAAACGAACGCACCTATTGTTGATCAACTTAATACTTTATTTAAACATAAGGGTTGCTCACAGTTCCAGTGTGTTATCTTGTTAAAGTTGCCACCTTTTAACTTTAGAAGTAAACTGTGAGTACCCTAATTGTATTTAATTATAGATATAATTTAGCAAAACTCAAAGAAAAGTCACATGTAATTCACCGAGGTATAGATAAAAATTCTTTTATTTCTGAGTCAACATTAACATCCAAATTGCGATTAATATTGAGAGAACCTAGCCCATTGTGTGCTTGCTCTCTGCTCATGCCTGTACATTAGCCTGCGCCTGATTTGTATGGAGAAAATTTTTTGTTAAGCTACAAAGCAAGATCCCCCCTAGAAATGTTCCTTTGGTCATAAAAACGCGCCCTTTGAAAAAAATTTTGAAATCGGACAACGGAAAGACGGCATATTTGAAACGCCATGTTGAATTTCTCAAAAGGCCTCACGGTTTTCCCAAAAAAAAAAAATCAATAACTTTAAAAGTTGGGGAGGTTTAAAAACAGGTCAGCTATATTTGACATCGGGGGGCAAAAATACATCAAGTGCCATTAAAATATATTAAATTTTCCACTGACTTATATACAATTTTGGCCACTTTGTGAAAATTTCCATGAATTTGCTGAACTTTAGGGCCTTTGAGGCACGTCTTTCCGTTATCCGATTTTAAAACTTTTCCGCAAGTCCCGTTTTTATGACCAAACCTTTCTGCGTGGTCTTGCTTTGTAGGACAAAGTTGCAAAATAAGGAGCTGACTACTGCACATGCACTGATGATATTTATTGAATTATTTTGAAAACTATAAGTAAATAGGGGAGCGAAGAGTGTTGTAAACCACACAAAGAATTTCTACAGAAAATTTTTTTTTTTGGTACGGCAAATATTAAAGCTGTTTTTGATAGATTTTTCTTCTATTATCATAAACTAAATGAAGCCTATTTACCTCCAAAGGGGGGCGTCTAAAATCTCATATCATGAATAATCAATTGTAAGCGAGCTATTTGTTTTTGTGGTCCGAATTTGCCGGTTCCGACAATTGATTAATGCATTATATAATAATAACAACGTAATATAACTTTATACACATAGAATTAGTTTAAGCTAAGAAGCGGAGGTCATAGGAACAATTAAAAATTCAGTTAAATATTGCAAGTGCCGAGTGCATTACCTTACATATGCCGCAAAAATATGTGAATAAGCAAATACATATGTACATATGAGTTATAAGTTAATTACAAAAATACTAAACTTAGCATGCTTTCCTAGTTAAATACTATGTTTATTAGAGTCTTTGTTGGTGTTATGCTTAGATATGTGTGTATGCATTTATTTACAATTTATTTAAGGTAACAAAATAAATGGAACAAATTACCTTCGTTGTGCAAAAGCAGCATTCAAATTCCACCGGTACATCCTGTTCGAAATTATCCATTCTCTGGTTTTGCAAATTCTCGAGTGCCACCTGACGTCGCAGCTCGGCCACTTCCTATAAAATGATGAATAACGATTTGTTTTTGTTTTTCAATTTTACATAGATTTCAATATTTAATGTTGTTTGTTTTGGATATATTGTTGGATAGATGCTGGACTCAATTACAAAATGGCAGGATTTAAGCTGCTTAGGTTTTGTTGGATTTGGAATGCGGAGTTAGTTGGTTTGTTTTGTTGCGGCAAGGGATGAAGGAAGTACTAGTTGCAGGCAGGAATGGGGGTTAGAGTGGAAAATTACAAATCTCAAGTGTTGAACAAAACCAAAACGTTAAGTGGTTATTTGAGTAAATATTTGCATGCCAAGTTGCACAGGTCAGTAGCGAGAAAAGTGTTGGCATTTGAAAAGCGTTGCAAACAAATTTCATTGTACATACGTACGTACGTAATTGAATTAGTAAATTTTATATAAATTCAGTGTTTATAACCATGCCGGCGACAAAAAAGATGGTGAGAAAGTGGTTGAGAATAGAACAAAGAAAGCGGTCATATATTTACATACATATCGTCGTTTAAAGTACAAAGCCGCGTATCGTCATTCTGCAAAACCGCGTAACTGACATTTGCTGCCAAAAATTGGATTTGCCCACACGAGCTCCTTATCCGTTCGTCCTGAAATATACTAGCCAGAAATGCGATTGTTTTGTAAAAAAAGAGAACCATTTTGAAATATGAGTGTTTTTACTCTACAGAAAATAATTTATACAACCTCACATATGTGGTTTTGCATTATCTTGATACGCAGTTTTGTTCTTTAAACGACGATATATATATGTAGTTATGCATGTACGTGCATATTAAATATAATAATTATTTAAAAGCGTACAGGTGAAGCTGTGCACCTGTGATTTTATCAAGTATATTTTGAACATAAAATATTTTTAAAAAGTAGTATAGGATATTCATCTTTGCCCTTCCACCAAATATTTGTGTAAAGTGTGTAAATATACAAACGATTTTATTTGTATTAATATAATAGTATACATGTATAAATGTGTGAATTTTTTGAAATATATAACACATACAGCCGGTTTCGCCAGCAATTCAAATGGAAAGGGATTTTTTATTTTCTGTCAACTTCCATATAAAATTCAAACAAGTAAAATCATTTTCCACTTAAATTGCTTTCGGGAAATTGGCTGTTGGCAAAAAGTAACTTCAGTAAAAAGAGTAACTTTAGTCAAGATGAAAATGACTGCATACTCAGAATTCTCAATACATCGACAAGATCTGGACTTTTGACTAAAAAACCTTTTTGTAGATTTTGTATGTGAAAAGAAAGAGGACATGTTATGGCTTACGGATAAGTTCGTAATACATATATATAAGTGTTTTAATGAATAGACTAAAAAATATTTCGTTAAGCAGTGTTTGGGAGAATTTTAGTTTAAGCCTCCAAAGAGCTACAAACATGCAGTATGCATTTTGAAACAGGTGGCAACCATTTTCAAACACCTCAGAAATATTCTAAATGTTCAATCCAAACATTTCTTGAAACTCTTTCGCTTTAATAGTTTATATAACCTGGCCATGAATCACTTGGCGATTGTCTTGCTTCATGAAAACCAAAAAGGAACAGTCCAGCGTATTCGTCTTGGTCTGCTAAATTTAAACACTAAGAAAAAAATATCGATAACAAAAGCGATAATAATATCGATAGGAAAATCGATGAAAATATCGATATTAAAATCGATAATAATAACGATAACAAAATTTATCCAAAAATCTATTACAAAGTCAGTACCGAAATCGATTACAAAGTCGATAACAAAATTGGTAAATATATCGACAACGAAAGCGATAACAAAATCGATAATAACACCGATAAAAATATCGATAACAAAAGCGATAACAATATTGATAGCAAAATCCATAAAAATATCGGTAACAAAATCGATAATTTTTTGCAAAATGCTTGAAATTTGGATTTCTATAGCTTTTGGTAGATGAGCTATACTTTTATAAAGAAAACTTGTCAAAATGTCGCGACCCTATTAATTTGTCTGACACTAAAAAGACTTGAAATATATGCATAGTTCAATTCAAAGTTCAACAAAAATGTTGGAACACTAAATCGCTAACATCGATATTTTTTAGATGTTAGGCCTTGAAGTTGAACAACAATTTTTACAATTTAGCTCAATAATCCACGAAATGTCCACCTTACCTAAACTTCGGAGCCCAATATCTCAAGAAATATCGATAGAATCAGACCGATTAATCGGCACCGGCATCGGCTAGTATCGGCACAAAATTGAGCATCGGCATTGTCATCGGCATCGGCCTTTTTTCGCCGATTCTTTGTAATTTCTTTTCTGTCGGTTCAGGTGAAGCGACAGACAACAGACGAAATCAAAAAACGTTTGCAGAGAGCTCACAGAGCTTGAAGGTGTTTCACGTTTTTTCCATACATAAGTATGTTCGACAATTTTATATACAAAAATTAATGGGATGTTATAGCAGCTTGAAACTTGCGCATGAAAATATTTTCAACATTCGAAAACTTTTAATTTCGTTTGATCAATTTTGTATATTCGACACTTTTACTTAGAATTTCTGCAATTCTCAAAATTTTTGAAAAATAAAAAATTTCTAGAAATCTAGTATTCATCATAATATTGAATTTCTCAAATTCACAAAGTTTTGAAAGTTTAGAAAATTTTGGAAGTCCACTCAAGTTATTTAAAATGGGAAACTTCAAGAAATTCAAAAGTATCAAAACTAACAATTTTAAATTGCGGTGATTTTTAAATTTATATACACGATATTTGGAAACAGGGCGTTTTCAAAGGAAAATGGGATTTTGGTACCTTTGGAGTTGGCAACACTGGCAGACATCAACGCGTTAGGGTTGGTACGAATACCTCGAAACTTGAAAAGCTTACATCAGGAGTCCCCCCCAAGGGTCAATTTTAGGGCCTCTTTTATTTAGCTTATCAATGAAATTTTTTTGTGCTTGTCAGTTTTCAAGAATGCATGCATATGCGGATGACATCCAGCTATATCTGTCAAATAATTTTGAAAATCAAGACTTATTAATTCGCCAACTTAACCATGATCTATCTGCTATTGAGCAGTGATCGAAGAATAACGGTCTTTGCCTTAGCTCTGGAAAGTCGTTTGTTTTACCAATCGCCAAGAAGAAGCTTGAAATAACAACAATACCTCTGATAGTTCTTGGAAATAAACCTTTACAATATGTAAATAAAATAAATAACCTGGGATTTGTTCTTAATTCGAACTTAAGTTGCAAGTATCATATAAATTCTGTTGTTTCCAAGACTTATTGTGCGCTAAACTTACGTCAAACTGCGGAATTTACTCCAGTAGTCATAAGTAGACAATTAGCAATTCAACTAATAGTAATAATAATAGTAGTTATAATAATATTATTAATAATGGTAATAATAATAATAATGCTAATAATAATAATAGCAATAATGTGCAGAAAATCCTACCAGATAACCAATGGAAAACGGTTGGAAAACGTAGATAGCTTAAGCCAGGGCCAGCGCCAGGTCGAGGCGACCAGCCGCAAAAAAAAAGAAGAGGGTGAGAAAAAAGAAGAGTCTCGCAAAACTAATCATTAAACCAGCTGAAGGAAAAACCTATGCAGAGGTGCTGGGAACTGGCACTGCCATTGGCCAGCTTGGAGACGCCCGTATTCTTACCAGACGTTTACGTCTAGAATTTCTGGGCATAGACTGCCTAACCACGGCCCCAGAAGTGATAACGCTATTCGCGGGGAATTAGGAGACAAGATGAATGGCCCGCCTCGCGAGAACCAAGAATGGCCGTGGTGGAAATCGACGAACTGCCAGGCCGGACTCTTATTGAAAAGGGGAAGCTGCGAGTAGGTTGGATTATCTGCCGCGTCCGAGAGCGCGCGGATGTCCAAAGGTGTTTCCGCTGTCTGGGGTATGGCCACAAAAAGGCGGCATGCAAAGACCCAGACAGAAGCTGCTCATGCTGGAAATATGGTCAGCAGGGCCACATAGCCTCTGCATGTAAAGAAAGCCCCAGCTGATACCTCTGATCGGCAGGAGATGGACAGAAAAATGCCAATCACCTGCCCGGGTCGGGAGCGTGCAAGGCCTTCAGGGATGCCCTTGCTGAGGCTAAGACAAAGCTTGGGAGAATATGATTAAATTGATACAAGATAATATGAACAGGAGTAGGGTAGCTGATGACCTGCTGGACCAATTGATTCTTGTACAAAGAGCAGACGCTGCCATCATCAGTGAACCCTATAGGACAAAGGATATTTCAATGAGAACATCCTCGAATAGCACAATTAAAAAATAACTTTCATGGGCATTCCTAAATAATTTCTTTTTCCGTTAGTTAAATGTTAAATACATATGTACTACATATGTATTTATGTCTAGCGTTCGTAACACTTGTAAAATTTATAATTGGGATTAATAAAAAATAATTTTTAAATTTAAGTTTTGTAATGGTAATTATTGAGTACTTTTTTAATGCAAAGAATTTTTATACAAAAAACAAGTTGTTGCGCAATCCGAAAGTACCATACCCGTAAGCCTTGAACATTTATTCAAAGAAATGTGTTTATTAAGCACTATTAGCTCAACAAGAAACAAAGCCTGTTAAATTGAAAAAGAAAACGGTAACTCAAACAATTTATTTCAACAAGCTTAATTTTAGCTGAGTTTTCCATTTATCTTTTCTGTCAGAGAAATATACATACATACATCCTTGTACAGATACATATGAGTACTCGAGACTAAGTGGTCTAAAGTACTTTCCTAATACGAGTACAGACATACAGGGTGGCGCCGAATGAGCCATATGGTTTAAATGGTACCTAACTTTTTTATTTATGCGATTATTATAATTTTTTATTATTATTTTTTTTAATACAGTATATTTTTGGGGAATTTTTCGCAAATGATGGCCATTTTCTGCTTCGCACATACGTGCTCTTTTTGGCATATTTTCTATAACTTTTCGCAGAATTTCGGGTGTAATGGCCAT